CTCAGATTTCATCAAAAATATCTTAAATTGTGTTCTGAAGATGAACGAAGGTCTTACGGGTTTGGAACAACACGAGGATGAGTAATTAATGACAGAATTTTCATTTTTGGGTGAACTAACCCTTTAACTCTGCACAGGTATAACAGCGCTGTGCACAGTGGCCCTGATTGCTGTGGAACGGCTGTTCGTAGTGTGCAAGCCTCTGGGTACCATCACATTCCAGACCAAGCACGCCGCAGGGGTGGCGTTCTCCTGGCTCTGGTCTCTGATCTGGAATACTCCGCCTCTCTTTGGCTGGGGGAGCTACCAGCTGGAGGGAGTTGGCACATCCTGCGGACCCGACTGGCAGAGTCGAGATCTCAAAAATGTGTCTTACATCATCTGTTACTTCTCACTCTGTTTTGCTGTGCCATTCGTCATCATTGTGGTGTCATATTCATGGCTGCTCTACACGCTAAGACAAGTAGGACATTGTCCTGGTTTACTTTTCTGTTTTAATGTTATGTTTCTGAGCTGTTGAAATGTAGTTGCAGTGGTGGGCAGTAATGAAGCATTACTTGCCTGTAATTTATCAGAGTAGGCCTATTGGTAGCACTTTATTTTACAGTCCTGTTTCTCATGTACATATTATGTACTTATTATAGTAATTACAATAACTAGGTAATAGCTAGGTACTAACCCTGAACCTACCCCTAAACCTAACCCTACCCCATGTAGTTACCTTATATTACCAGTACTTTCTTTTAGGTACACCGTAAGTACATGTAAGTACACGTACTGTAAAATAAAGTGCAACCTGCCTATTTTTATTTTGGCAAATGTTTACTTTTACTTCAATACATTCTTAATCATAATATTGTAATTTTTATCCCGTTACATTTCATAAAAACATATCGTTCGTCCCTCGTGAGAAGCACGATTTGAATTAAAAAGTTAAAGAAAGAGTTCATCCAAAAATTAAAATTTGCTGAAAATTTACTCATCTTTAATTAGGCCATGCAAGATGTAGCTTAGATGAGTTTGTTTCTTCATCAGAACAGATTTGGAGAAATTTAACATTACATCACTTGCTCAGCAATGGATCCTCGGCAGTGAATGGGTCCATCAGAATGAGAGTCCAAACGGCTGATAAAAACATTATAATAATCCACAAGTAATCCACACCACTCCAGTCCAACAATTAATGTCTTGTGAAGTGGAAAGGTGAATGTTTGTAAGAAACAAATACATCAAGACAATTTTAATTTGAAAACCATTGCTTCTGGCTAAAATACAAGTGTTCTATCCATATTGGTTTTTATCAGCTGTTTGGACTCTCATTGTTGCGGCACCCATTCACTGCAGAGGATCCATTAGTGAAAAAGTGATGCATTGCTAAATTTCTCTAAATTTGTTCTGATGAAGAAACTAAAACATTTTTGGGTGAACTGTTCCTTTAAGGTATTTTGCCTTATGTAACGTCTGTGCATTGTATTTTTATACTGTTTGTTGCCACATATTTACACTAATTTAGTTTTTCTTCATTTTTTTAAAAAACTAAATGTTATAGTCTGCACACTTAATTTATCAGTAATTAGATTTTTTTTTAGTATATTGAATAGTATTGTATTGATAGTGTATAACGGGTGTCAAACTCAATTCCTGGGGGGCCGGAGCCCTGCAGAGTTTAGATTCAACCCTAATTAAACACACCTGATCCAACTAATCAAGTCCTTCAGGCTTATTTGAAAACTACATGGTATTTGTGTTGGAGCAGGGTTGGAACAAAACTCTGTAGGGCTTCGGCCCTCCAGGAATTGAGTTTGACACCCCTGGTGTATCACAAATTTTGGTAAGAAATACAAAATTAAATGTCTGCTTATTTGCAGATCAATACATATACAATGTCTGCACTAATCTTTCTTATTGGCTAGTGCTCACTGGTATAATTAATAAGCATGGTTCAATATTTTTTCATGTTTGAAAGAATATTTTCATTGACAGGTAGCTAAGGTTGGTGGCTGTGCAGCTGCGAGAGCAGAGTCTAAGGTGGCGTGGATGGTGGTGATGATGGTGTTGGCGTTCCTCGTGAGCTGGCTGCCGTATGCTGCTCTGGCTCTGATGGTCGTCTTCAACCCTGATGTCCAGTTACCCTTTTTTAAGGCCAATAGCCTTTCATTCATATCACATCTGTGATTCACTTCTTGCTAAAGCTATTCAGAACCAGCTGGTGTTTGGGAGAGGAACATTTTCATTCTAGACAGCATTTGATGGGAAAAATGTGTATACTGTACCTTCCTGAATGAAAGATGAGCCATCTGTATTTTTTTTTTTTCCATTTTTTCCCAGACAAATAAGACTGCATTTTTGGGTTGTATACCAACTTATACTGTACTATACGTATACATTTAAAGCCACAAAACGTTGCTAATACTTCTATTCAGCAACAGTGCATTAAATTGATCAAAAGTGACAGTAGAGACACCAAATTTGGTGTTTCTTGAGCACCAAATCGGCATAGTAGAATGAATTCTGAAGGGTCATACTAGAGAAATGGCTGCTGAAAATTCAGCTTTGCATCACAGGAATAAATTACATTTCACAATATATTCAAACAGAAAGCAGTTATTTTAAATTGTAATAATATTTCACAATATTGAAGTTTTTACTGTATTTTTGGTAAAATAAATGTAGTTTTGGTGAGCATTGGAGACTTAAAAAAAAATCTTTATTCTAAAACTCTTAAATGCGACATCATCTGATCCCAGAGCCCCAGATGAATCTTGCAATATAATCAGATTACATTTTTCATATTTCCTTCCAATTAAAGATGCCTTGACCCATAGATCTACTGAGAAACTCCTTTATTAGCTATTATTAAAGTCTTTCTGTGGCTACAGAAGTGTTATCATAATGTTCTGAATTGCAGTTCCATGTTCTTGTACAAATAAGTGACACAGTTGTTTGTTTATTCATTAAGTTTATTCTGTATTAATCATTAGAAAATAAAATTTCAGTATTGATTAAAATCAAGTCCAGGCCAAAATAAATAGGAAATTTACAAAAAATGTATCAATACAAAACCTAGAGGATATTATAAGTAATCTGCTACGTAGAGAAAACCTTTTTTCTTTTTCTTCATGGAATAAAAACTATAACAGAGCAAAGATAAAGACTTTCAAATGGAGAACATCACGCATCGTTCCATTACTTCTGTACATATGTTACACAATAATCTTATGTTTCCTTACAGCATTAATAATAAAAAGTATAATAGTAGTAGCAACAACTCTAGATGAAAATGTGATAATCAACAGATGTGGCTCTGAAAACTTGTATAATACTTTTTTTTTGTTGTCAATAAATCAACATTAACAATACAGAGGAGTGCACCTTCCCCCCTCCCTTCTGTTTGTCCCAGCACTGAAAGGTGAAATGTAAATGACAAATATAGATTTCACTAAACCGTACGCACAGTCACAGAAAAAAAGTACAAAATTCGCCCACCTTGATACACAAAATATGAATAGAAAACAGGGAAAACAAATTGCACGTTACAGTAATTTGTGCAAAGACAAACAGCAATGTGCTAATAATAAAATCCCATTGGTATATTAAGAAACCAAATTTTTTTATTTCTTTTCAGGAGTCCCTGGCACGAGGTAAAAGTTAAATCTTTAGTTTAACAAGTTTTTTTTTTTACGGTTTTTCTTAGTTTATTAAAAATAATGCATATTTTATTGTCCTTACCAGTAATTGCTACGAACAGTACAATGTGCCAAGAATGTGCATTGGTCCATTTACAAGATACAGTATAATTGACATGAAGACCAGGACACATTTCATTTTTTTTTTTTTTTCGCACGGATCATTTCAGAAAGCCCTTTCAGATGTGCACACGCAGTGTTTCATGGACAGCATAGTGTATTGATTACGCCATTTGCTGTTTTTCACAGGAGAGGCGACTCTCTGATTGGTTGAAATTTTCTGTATAGCATCATGGGTAGTGTAGCTCTCTTCACAAGTTCAGCTGATAAACATGAAATAAGCTAAAATAATGTGAACGGATAGCTTCAACAAAAGCATATGCCATCGATTAACAAACTTGTGGCTCACAGTAGGTCTGTCGTTAAAGGTTTATAAGTTATCGTTAAAAATCGATTTCCTTATGGAGAAAATGAATTGAGTTTATACTTCCAGAACCCGACATTTTCCACTGAGAATAAAACAATTTGAAGGTGAGTGAATAAAGACAGAATTTTCATTTTTGCCTGAACTGTTTCCTTTAAGGATTCGTGCACTTCAAGCAACCCGAAACTCCCCCATCATCACATTTTGTCATCATAATCATCATCATTATAAAACTTAAGTAAGATTTCAGTATTCAAAACACCTAAATACATTAGTGGAAATGATTCGCTAATCTGAAACCCTTGCAGTAGTGCGCTATTCCTAGATCAGCTATTCATAGGTCAGCCAGTGGCAGCAGGCTTTTCTAAGTGGCAGCATGTTCCTAGTGAGGGTCGTACAGTTCAATTGCAGACTAATTAAGCAGCATTGTTAATGCAAAAAGCATTTACCATTGCACCTTCCTGTGCACCACCCCAGCACAAAATATGCACGAAACACGAACCTTTAAAACGGGATGTCCTATTCGACAGACTCGTTCAATATACACAAACAAGAGTGCGATTAAGACAAGATTCTGTAAGCCCTACTAAAATCCTCTTAAAGGGGGGTCAACGCTCGTGACCCATACTGCATGCCATCAATTTTAAAGGAACACTACATCGGTTCCGCTTGTGAAAACGGACATTGAGAAAACAACTTGCATATCTTGTGCAGGTGTGTCACAGACTCAACCTCATAGAAAATTGGCTTTTTTTGTTCTATACTTTTCACAAACAAGTAAGAATGCATATGAGAAAAGAATAAAGGCAAAGAATTTAATAATAAAGTACAGTACCTATTAAAATAACAACAAATTTCATCTTTTTTTGTAATGCAATAACATCAATTAGGATTAATATTGCTGATTTTATTTTTTGTACAGTACATAATTACAAAATATATGTCTCTTTACAAAGTTTTCTTTTTCCTTTATATATTACAAGTCATTTACAGCATATTATGAAATATCAAACAGGCTATCCTAAATTACAAAAATAACCTGTCTGCTAGTGCATTCAACACAAATGCTGAAATCCTCTCGAAATCCACCAACCTGCATGATATCCTTATTGTAAACCAGTGTTGTAGAATTAGCGTTTGTTCTCTAAAATATGCACTTTGCCTTAAACGGTACTAAAATACGGGGCGAATCGAAACTAAAGCCTTTGTTGAGGGATATGCCATACTTAGCTTGCATTGAGCTTACAACGTGCTTGATATGCAAAACCCTTAATAAAGTGACTGAAGTAATGACATTCGTTTGATTGTCATCACCGTGGAAACAGCCTGTCCCCCCCCACCCCGGGTACCTCCCCTCACTGCTCATTGGTCCATTTCCTGCAGTGACGGTACAAGCAGCCAATTAAAGTTTACCTCCAGAGATTCTTAGCTCCTCCCTGGTGCCACGACTGCCAAAGTACTGTGTGAACAGGAAGTGAGCGAGTGTCACCGATGCGTCCGTTCTTGTGGTGCCTTTTTGCTCTGGTGTAAAGGCACTTCTTTAGGTAGTAAGCCAGTAAATATACTATAATTCGATTTGTTTGTTTTGCTGATCACTTTCTGAGGAACAGCAGTAGCCGCTTATCAGGTGCTATAAAGTGGTAATGCATATCATTTCGTCTGCCAGGTCCTCCTCATACTGCGGTCTGGGTTCGGGTTCTGGTTCCTCATCACTGTAGCTAGCTGAGACATCTTGCAGCTCGTAGTCTCTGTGGCCCATTATGGGAAAGACAGTGACGCCGTTGGCACTCGGCATAATGCCGCCGTTCAGGAGATGGCTGGCGGCGCTCTCCATTTCGTCGATGGTCATCTCGCATGCATCTGCGATCTCGTGCTTCGTGGCGGTCACGAACTTTGGATCCTTGGCATATCGACCCAGTCCTTCTGATATCAAGACCTGCTCAAAAAAGAGGAGGAGAAAAGTGTTTTGTTCTGTCAGCATAAAAATCTGATTTTGTCTTCAATGACTGAAGAAAACATTTTGTCCTGAAACTAGAAACTTTTCAAAAGATGGACTGGAAACACAGTGTCTTACATACAGTACTTCTGCCCTGGTTAGCATGAAACCACAAGACGTTCAAATTAAAATTTTCAAATGTAAAATTTTAAAGCCCAATTTTACATGATTTTGATACAACGTTGTGACTATTGCAGTGATTTTAATGCACTTTTAATTGGCCTTTTAAATAATAGTGTCTCTGACTTAAAACGGTTTACAATATTGTAGCAAAACATGCCACAACATTTACAATATTACAATGATTTTTCAAATAAATAAATAAAATAATCAATCAATATAAATAAATTATCTGTAAATTATTTTATATTTTTATGTTGGTAAAAATACATACAAATATACATAATTATTTGTGTATATGTTCTCATTGCATTTTTTGCATTCCAATTTGAATCTACTTTGCTACAATGCCTGTAAAATAAGCAAATGAGTAAGTAAGCAAATATTTAGCTTTTATTACTACATTCTTTATTTTGGTAAATAATGTTTAATTTGTTATGTTTTGCACTATTTTGCTACCGTGGCTGCTGGTTGAAATTGTTTTAATGATATATTATATATTTATATATTATATATTAAAATTGATACATAGATAAATAGATAGATAGGTAATTTACTTATTAATTTACGAATAGGTAATATA